GGGCAGGGATCAGGCCATCACTGAAGAGAGCAGACGGCCTATAAGGTTTATGAACGAGGCAGCCACAAGCAGTTCGCCACAATCCGTAGAACGTTATTCATGGAAAGAAGGCTGCATTACGACACCCGATGGCTGCAGTGTTTGCATCAAAATTGTTTCGGTAGTCGACGAGGCGTTTGCATGCAACCTATGTCACCGGTAGGCTCATTGCCACTGCGACACCGAAGTCTTCCGACAATATTACAAACTGATGAAGAGGCAACTATGCAAGTGGTTCTTGCACATCTGTCCAGAGTGCAGGAAGCTGCCCGCACTCCTCACAGAAAGCCTGAAGGAGATGCTCTCCGACACGCAAAAGCCACCAGTACCCTCGAATAAAGTAGATTTAACACTAAATGTTATCACAGAGCGGCCTTAAAAGACCTAGAGCTCCAGCTGTGGGCACGCCACCTCGCGTGGGGATCACAATAGGTCAAGTCTAGACACCTCCTACCCGGTCGCAGGGAACGTCAGACACATGGCCGAAGGCATCGACCGCTGAACCCTCTACGAAACCCCCTCCCCACACACCGTGACTGAGAAACAACCGGTGGAGTTACTCGAACCTGTTAGGAGGTCGGTCGTGCCACCCACAACGAACCCAGGTCACAGTAGGACCAACTCGATCATTTTGTTCAACGTCGATGTATCGACAGACTCATTGTTGGTCGAGAGGGAACGGCTTGACAGCCGGATGTGGACCGACTACTGTTAGATGCTGGGACTCCTCCCCCCTGCGACTTCGTGTCGCCTTTCTCGAGGAAGCCGTGCGCCCCGAGATAAGCCACCCCCTTCACGTGTGTCCCTAAATACTGCCAAAGAGGCTGAAGACACCTCCTTCTCTCACGACAACCGGGCATTGTTAATGCCTGTAAAATTCGGGCCAGGCCTGAAAAGCCATGGTCAATAAGAGAGGAGGAGAGAAAGTCAGCGGTTGGAAACCCCAGCAGAAACAACACTATAGTTGTACATGGGATCCCGGAATCGCCAAGTGACCACTCGGTTAAAGATCGGTACTTTCACGACGTCCAACAATAGCAACGGCTCTCAACCAAAGTTGGTCTCGACAGTATACTGGCCAACAGCGTCAGTAGACTGCCAAGGCCAGCGCACCTGAAGACCATACCCAATCCCAGACTACTCGCCGTCCAGTTCGACTCATATGCCTCCCTCACAGACGTTCTACATGCACCGTATAATGCGAAAGATAGCATGGGTGGCTCAATAAGCATGTGTGAAAGTAAGCCACCAAAACCTCTGGAGTCAGTGGTCGTCACACAGGCGCTGACCAGTGAGTTAGATACATCAAGTAAAGAAGCCACCACCGCCACAGCCCCCACCCAAGTTAAGAACAAAACACAAAAAACGGAACAATCCCAGTCCTATAAGGACTGGAGACGCTACACCCAACCACATAAGCGCTCATCCCGTGAAAATACACAACCAGATCTCCTCTCTCACCAGGCACACTTCAACATGTATGTACAGCAACCTTGGGGGGCTAAGAGGGACGCTGCGAACATCATATTCATCACCGAATCCTGGCTCTCGTCGGTCATCTCCGACGAAGAGATGCATGTTACTGGCATGGAACTCTTCCGCAGGGACGAGGAACATAGAGCAGGACGGGAAGTGGCTCCCCACGTAAACTCCTGTTTAAAGGCAAGGGTGGTTAGCGATACGGCCTTAACCTATTTCCCAAAATCTCTATGGTGCTACTCCACTCTCCACCTTACCAAATACCTGATCAAAGTCATATATCGGTCCCCACCGGCCTCCCTACACATAAGGAAATAGTCATCAAGGCGATCTTAACGACTTTCTTTGCAAATTATGATTCCGTAGTCATTGCCGGTGAATTCAACACCCCGTCCACCCTCTTCGGAACAGAAGGGAGACGCATCAGATCCCTCAATCAGAAGCTGAAGAATGCAATTAAGACTGCTGGCCTCTCAGAGAAAGTGGGTGATGCCACACGCTGGGGACCTAACGGAAACACGTCGCGCCATGACTACGTTCTGACGAACGGTGAACTTCTCATTAAGGACGTTTGCATCCAGCCTCCCCTTGGCCTCAGTGACCACGCTGTAATCACCTTCTCCATGATTGCTAGGGAGGTCCAACAACCGGAGATACCCAACACCTTCCCTTGCTACAGCAAGCCCAACTATGAGACCATGAGGGACTGTCTGATGAATGCATCGTGGCCGGCAGACTGGGCTCATCTCACAGTAGATGAATGCTGGTTGCAGGTGAAGAAGATAATCACTGGGGCCATCAGTCACACTGCACCAGAAGTAACACACAGACAGTCAGTGAGAACCTCATGGTTAAAGCGTGGGACAGAGAGGCTTATCCAGAGCACGAAGCAGGCTTGGTTCAAGTGGTGCTCATCACACAGGGAGTGACTTTTTGAACTACAAAAGGATTCGCAAACGCTGTAACATTAGAGTGCGTAGTGCCAGATTTTCCTATCAGACAAACCTGGCAGGGAGGTTACAAAGCAATCCCAAAAGCTTGTACCGCTTCATGTCGAGAAGAAAGTCGACCAGCAGGGGGTGAATCTTGTCACAGGCCGTGACGGGAGTATACTAGGCAGTCTAGAGATTGCCGAGCTTTTGAGCTCACACTTCCAAGCCCAACTTAGTGCCCACACTAAATTCATGCCGGCACATTATGCAACCGAACAGGCCATTAGAAACAAATATCTCTGCTACATCTCAACCACAGAGAAAAAGGTGTTCGAGAAACTATCTAGGCTACGTCCAGGCAAGTCCCCTGGCTGCGATAACCTGAAGCCAGTGGTTCTAAAAAACCGCGCCGAGATGCTTACTAAACCACTTCGCAACCTTTTCGAGCACTCAATAGATTCGTGCAAACTCCCTAAAGAATGGAAGAGCGCCATCTTGTCACCCATTTTCAAGGGAGGAGACAGAAAAAGCCCCGGCAGCTGCAGGCCAATTGCTCTACTTCCTACTGCGTCGAAAGTGTTGAAAAGCCTGGTAGCTGACACTATCTGTGAATTCCCCAGTGGGGAACAAGGTGCGTGCTGCTCAGCATGGTTTTCAGGGTGGTTGTTCATGTGCCACCAACTTACTAACCACCTGGGACGACTGGACACAGAGCTGGGATAACAGAAAACCGGTACATGTCATATTTCTCGACCTAGCCCACCCACGGTCCTGCTTCACAAGATCATGTCAGCTGGTATAAGTGAATCCCTACTCTCTTGGTTCGAGGGGTAACTGAAGGGGAGGCAGTTCTGCACCAGAGTAAATGGAATGGGGTCGGAGTGCAGAACATCGACGTCAGGAGTATCCCAAAGAGCAATCCTAGGACCACTTCCGTCCCTCCTGTTTGTCAACGATTTGCCAGAGAAAATGTCCCCGCCCATCACCATCTTCGCTGAAGACATTAAAGTTTGGAGGGTGGCAAACGAAGAAACTGATTGTACAGCGCTACATAGGGACTCCCAGCAACTCGAGCTCTGGTCGTCGGAAAATGGCCTAAGCTTCAACCTGGAGAAGTGCAAAGCAATGCACATCAGTAAAAATGAAGCAAGTACGACCGACTTCCAGTACCTATTGAGCAACCGTGCTATCACCAGAGTGTCTATGGGGAAAGATTTGGGGCTCAGCTCCCCTGACACCTCGGACACCGGCTCCAACTACGAAGGTATGACAACCAGAGCGAACGCCATTCTACACTTTCTGCGTAGACTGCTTGGCGCCCTCACTCCCGAACTCTTCCTCACCATTTTCAAATCCTACGTGCGGCCGCATCTAGAGGTCTCCAATATGGTGGCTCTTCCAACACTCGAGAGAGACTCGAATCCCTTGAAAGAATACAAAGAACCGCAACAAAACCTGTTGTGGGGTTAAGGGGAAAGATGTATCCCGAAAGAATTAAACACCTAAACCTATTTACCTTGGGTTATCGTGGGAAGAGGGGTGACCTTATTATGGCATACAAAATCGCCCATCAGACAGACCATGCAAACAAATCAACTCTGCGTGGAACTCAGCGGTCTTTGCGAGGAAACCCTGTTAAGATAGCACACCAGGGAGCCAATACCATACTCAGGTCCCATTTTTTCTCCCCGAGAGTATGCGCGTTGTGGAGTGCTTAACCGCGACATATCGTTATTGTTCCCTCAGCCGACTCATCCAAGAGACGGTTAGCCAGTTACGTCACTTCTGAAGATCTACCACGAACTTGCCCAGGTGGTCAGCAACCTCACTCGCGCACCCTCACCTCCCTCCTACCAACCACTCACTATCTGGCATCCTGATACACCTACATTACCTACTAATCCTCCTGTGGGAACCAAACCCACGCTACCATTCGCGCAATTCTTAAGTACTTTTCTCTCGTTCTTATTTCTCTTTTTCACCCCTCCCATTCTTCCCTTTCCCTCATTATTATTTTTTCCTTTCTTCTCTTTTTGATTCTCGCTTCATTCTTTCGCCACCCTACTATTCTCTTTCAGGTACCTACACAGACAGGAGTCATGGCAGTTCCCTATAATTCCTAGCAACCAGTAGCTCCCCAATCACTCTACAAATACAACTTACTAACCCACAGAACATCCACATCTCCGAAGCTAAAAGCAAGAAAGCAGAGGGTATTTCCTCGTCCACTGCAGGATGAGCCGAACAACTGGAACCAAGCCATAAGAACTAGACGCGAGAGATCAAATACTACCAGTTTTCTACGCTCGCACTATCAATATAGGATAGTGGATATCGGCAGGAGGTTGCATAGTGTCCAAATTTACCAGCAGATCTAAATGCTCGAAACGCCTGCATATGCTCAGATTGATCTGGAACTGCCTACCAACCTCATACGTAGCTCAAGAAATGAAACAGGATAGTGATTTCTCCCTTGGAAATATAGAATCTAGAAAGTACTCTTATCATATTTCTTAATATCCTACAGTGCCGATGTAGACTTTGACCTTCATGTTTAGTTTGGCGCTTTGTTAAACACGAGACGCTACGGTCGCTATGGTTAAGACACATGCTCCGACTTCAGTTATCGATTCACCAGCTGAAGAGGATCATGTAGATACGAATGCTGGTGAAGAGACTTCAGATATCTGTAGTATATGTCTACTTATGTTTTTATATATTCTACAGGTATGTGACCGTTTCTAAACATTTTTTGTCGCATGGATCTATTGTACACAGGGTTCTAAAAGACCATTTAGAACTGTAACTTATTTGATATGACTTTTAATTGGTAATGCAATCAAATAAATGAGTTGGGTTAATGTCACCTACTTAATTCAACCAGTGACACGTAAGCAACACGTGGTGATTTCATGATTCACATTATATTAAAATAACCACATTTGTACACACCTACACTTACAGTACGATCATATATGTCTTACTGACGTAGTCTATGTCCCTGGCTAGCACTCACTTTGGGTGCACATGCACTCGAAGTTTTCAAAGTATACTCAAACCTAATGCTGGTTTTTTCGAAATAGATAGCTCAATATTTCCCGACATAGTCGAACAGCCAACAAAGATAAAAATCTGTCCGTTGGCCAGAGATCTGCTACAGCATTTATAAATGACGCCCAGCTAGTAACCGTCAGAGGGAGTTCACCAATTACTCCTGAGGAGGTTAGAAAAATTCCTGTAAGGTGAACGTTTGTGTTAATGAGTATTGGAAATGCAGAGATAAACACAATATTCCTATAGGATTTTTTCCAAAAGCTTGTGCAAAATCCCCCTTTTTCCCACATAGATGTCGATGAAAGGATGAACCAGTTACGGCATCCATCCATCCAGATGATCCGTTTATCTGCCGTGTTCGCTTATTAAGTTGACTTTAAAACCTCATGGAATTTATTTGGCCAGCAATTTAATAAAATGATCCTAAGTTACGGTTGTAGGCTGTTAGATTTAGCTAAACGAAGTTGTCAGAAATTACGCGAACGGCATCCTTTGCTTTTGACGTGGTTGGTGAAATCATGTTGGTACCGACTGTTCAACGTTATTTGGCTAGTCATTGGATTAAGGTCATCCTTCTTTGTCTTCTGAACAACGCCTTCAGTAGCATCTAACTAAACCGAATCACTAGGGTTAGTGTGCAAACTGTATGGTTCACAAATCTGTTTGTTCTGTTTATGATATCCCGTAGTCCATGTCAGATATTGTTAGATGAGATTAAAAACTCATGCAGAGCCTAAACGATCTTCTGGATGCTCTGAAAATATTCACATTTCTATCGAATCAATAAATATTTAGCTTATATTATATAAATATACTTTTGCCGTGACAATAAGTTGGTTTTTATATGATAGTCCCACGCAAACGATCAAGTATCTAGAATTTTCTCCTCAATTTTTATTACCTCGATTCGAGAAAATCGAGAATTGAGAAGTGATTGATTCGATAGCCTAACAATGCTCAACCGTAATTTTAACTCCATGAACCCTAATATTTAACCATAAGTTAACTCAAAATTTCCTTTCGGCCATAAAATGCAAAATGCCTAGGATTATGCCTTTTTTTCCAGCGAGGAAACGTAAAAAGCCGTAGGAGAACAGAAAGAGACAGAACACCAACGAGTTTCGGAATGGCAACTAAGAAGGAGCTAATGTATGGATGCATCTGGATCATCGAGATTAATTCCTAGACTTATCGCCTAGAGTCTGCAACTGCATGTCTCGGTTATCATGCTAACCCCAAGCAGAAAGTCTACATTTCCATACATGGCTCAGATTGACAGTCAAAGACTTCATGAACTGGCGTTGTTTGAGTTTGGTTGCTCCTAACTTTTTCAGGCCTAAACGTGCCTTAGGTAGGTTCGCACAGCGGGACAGAATGCGTAAAATATTTTTAGGCTATATGAGTCGGTGAACGTTCACAGATCTTATTGACTGACTTCCTCTTACACAAAATTCTACGCCTGACTTAAACTTTAGTGACTGCAGACCCTGTGGCCTGTTACGATGTCAACAGTGGTCAAACATCCGCAGCTTCCTCATAACCTCTGTTTCTAATGAACATTTCACACATAGCAAGACAGAACGAACTGCAGCACACTATACTCGGTGTTCGGTAGGTAATCGAATGTATCACGGTGACGCTAAAAATGGCATAAGTTGGTGAAGGCCAATCGAGTTTTAGTATTATCATCTAGCTGCTCTTGAAATAGTCATGCGGCTATAGTTACTTGCATCCATTCGGGAACAGACATATCTGTTCTTTAAGTAACGCGTTATCATTGCCCAAATGGATGCTGTAAAATGAGTGAGAATCTTTCACTGATCCTCGCTAGCGATAGCTGAATGCAGTATGTCCTACTCGTTCACCGTTGAGTTGCAATCAGTGGGCGCTACGTCAGACAAGGTTTTTCCTGATGTCCTTATGTCCGAAGTTCATGCTGGTCGGAAATGAATGCTTTTCTGATCACAATTGTGGCAGGTGATCACCATTATCTGTCCGTTTTGCTTTGATTTAAGAAGTGCCACCTAAGCGCCTTTCTGCCTGCCTTAGCCTTCCCACTTGTGGGTGTGTAAGCAGAGGTTTAAAAGAGTTACACTATTTTAGTATTCACTGCACTGTCCAGTCAAACAGCACAGTCGACTGTCAACAGAGATCCAGTCGTGCAGTGATTTTCCTGCCTAAGAACTGAATGCTACACCACCTGAAAGACCGTGAAAACTAGTCATCAGATCTTCAGGAGCTGGAAGAGTGAATTTTGTGGATTCACCATGTTGACGCGGTTAGGTCAAGTGAATAATCGCCCTTGGTTCCTGTGTACTTGTCTCACAAACACATCACACGTCCATACCCCAAAATGCCGGAGTTTTGACTAACGAAACTTCCTGAATGATGATGGAGGGTACGGACATTTAAAGCTTCAATTTGTAGTTTTGAACATAACTTCGGGAGACTATGAGTGGCGTTCCGGGAACATGAATCGTTATCAAGAGCTACAGAGCTGAAATAAATTAAAGATAAAGTAGGACTATTGGCCGAGAAACGTGAGGAGAGTTGAGAAGTAAAAGATGTTGCAGGTTAATAATAACTTGAGGGAAATTGGTTGCTGACTTGTCGACACTTCCTGGTTACATACACTACAGGAGGTTACATCTTGAGACAGCTAAAAAGGAAATTGGGTTGGTAATTGTAGTGTATGATTGCATCGTCAAAAAGACTTCCACCTGAGGCCTAACACATATAGCCTTTCTAAAAGTTTAAAGTTTATATTTGTTTGTTATAAATCCTACTAGAAAACTGATCTCCAGCACGGGAAGATCTGGAAGCAAGGAGGAGTGTGCTAATTTTGAGGACGATCTTTTCTAACTCATTCTTTTTCATAAGGAAGACAGCATTGCCATTAACTGCTGGTTATTGCGGGAAACATCGTACTGATATCACACTCTGTCTAGTCAGCAGTGTGATTTTCCTCTCACATCCCTCATCGTAGCGTAGCTATTTGAAGTAAAACCACTACTTTTTTCCGGCTAATGTTTTTGGCATGGTAGGACCTCGATGAACAAATGTTTCCACCAGCATACACTGTTGGGTTATTGTGGTGTACAAGCCTTACCATCATGTCAAGGCTTGCATTTCATCTTTAGGCTATGAATTTTTCTACAGTAAAGCGGCATCTTTGTGTTGTCTGATATCATTTCATAGTGACTGAAACTTCATGCTCAACTTCAGGCTTCGTATTTAGCCTAAGGATAATAACGAAAATAGATGGTGATAAGTATTTCGTTTCTATCTTTCTCTCATTTTATAAAAATATCAGTATTACCACACCTGGTTTCACATTTTTTGTATCCAGCGTGCTTTTAATGTTCACCGTTTTATCTCTATTTTGGAGTTGAGCGCTTTTTGTTGTGTATTCATCATTTTAGGGCATTCCTCTCGGACTAGCAGCTGCAGTTCCATATCTGCTTCAGTCAGATCAAAAAACAGTTAGTTATCAGTCACAAGCAACATTTTCACTTGTAACATGGCCGTTTTCGCTTAAATTGGCATGGGCTCCAATAGTGGACTCTTTATACAGTTCACGTATCGGCAGGCGGAAAACTTGGCTTATTCCTGTGCAGTACGCCATCGGGATTGATCTGCTCATTCTTGCACGATACGTTGACCATTGGCTAGGACGTACACCGAGTAATCCGTGGGGTCCTTTAGGCGTGATGCATCCTGTGGATATTTCAAGCTTGACTATGGCTTTCTTTGGGCTCACATTTCTTGCGGCCACTCAAGACATAGCTGTTGATGGGTGGGCACTTACGATGTTATCGAAGTAAGTTCATTATACTACACATACATATGTCAGATAATTTAAAGCAACTGGTCCCTTTGATAAATTTAAACAGCGTAATGAGAGTAATTTTGAGCGTAATTTTCATACCAAGAATAAGGTTTTCCTTTTCTATCCCTTCCTATTCCTACGTTTCCCATTAACTTCATTGACCTTTTCGTAAATTTTCATATAAATAGTTCGACAAGTCCATGTGTGATCAGATTGTTCGAAATGTATAGCCCTAACACATCACATGTTTCAGATAATCTTCGTCTTCTCATTACGCTGTTTAAATATGTCAGATAAGTTTAACCGTGTGTTTGAACACAAGCAAAATACTCTGTATTTTTAGGCACTCACTGTCAACGAGAATTTTGGTCACAAATTTTTTGTGTAGTATGAAAAACCCAGTACAGATTTTTGGCAACTGGTCAGTAACATAATAGATTTCTCTGTGATTTTATCATGTGAACCTAGAATATTAATAAACATACCCACTGGACATTAGTAGTTTATACTGGTGTATTAGACCTGAAGTTCTTCTTGGTGAGTAAGGTAGGACTATCCTTAGAAAAGGGATAGTGGAACTGTGGCTCAGTTGTTTAGGGGGGGGGGGTCACCATCAACCATTGGGTCACGGGTTCGAGCCTCGTTCCATCTACCGACGTTCGCGCAGTCAGGTAGTGTCATTAACCCTCGCACCATAGGTGTGGCTCATTGCCTACTGCACATATGTACATAAGGTAGCTCAGTGCGTTTTTTCGTATTTCTATAAAACAGCCCAACTCTTTAAGGCACAGCACCATGCTAACTATTCAGTTTCAACCTAAGCGACTGTTAATAGATAGAGTTGTGCTTATTCGTAGTGAAAATACAGTTAGACATACATGTGATCAGTGACGTCTTCCGGATATTTTATAGGAATGCTCAAATGCACCAAACTTCTGAGGTATTAATAAACAAAAATGGTTCATAACCTTGATAAAAGTTGAGCAATACTCTTTTTTGTTTTCTTATCCTCACGTTTTATCACGAAGGTTAAACATACTGCTATTTCTTCATAGATGTCGTAAGTTGCATGTCTTAGTCTTCTGACGGGATGCATTCTGGAGTTTCAGGTTGCATTTCATTGTTACTGTTTGATTTTTGTGAAAATAAGCTCTATTGCACGCGAATTGACTTTAATGCTTACCGGATTTCTAGCTAATCGATCGGTGTTTCAGCCAATCGTATCTATGATACCTTAAAGCCAGTTTCAAGATACTATTAGTCATCGTATAAGCTGATGAGTGCCTATAGTGTTACTAAAGAATCAACTCTTAAATCCATTCATTTGCTTTGAAAGCACAGTGAAAACGATAGGAGGGACATTTCAAAGAACAGTTCAACTGGCCTCCAGCTACTGTCCCGCTGCCCGCTAATCTGCCGGGCCCGGAAAAGAGCCTCCAAAAACTGCAGAAATAGAGAAAGCTATAGGTAACTTGATACGAGGAAGGGCAGCAGGGCCAGATGGACTGATGCCGGAGGTCGTGGATTATTGGTCAGGTTAATTGAAGTATTAGCCACTGTACGGGAGCTAAATATATTATCTCATCTGGTCTCAATTACTGGTTATCCCAGTCTTCATGAAAGACGAGAAGTCTTCTTACGATGATGACAGATGAACCAGCCTGAAGAACATAATATTTAAAGTGCTAGGATCAATAACCATTGAACGCATAAATGGAACTCGGGAACAACAAACCCGAGAAAATCAAACAGGTCTCAGACCTCTTCATGGTTATATTGACCAGATATGTGTTTCTCACCAGGTTCTAGAACACAGGCACACTTACCAACTCCTGACCTGAATGCGACATTTGACTACGTCTATCCGGAGGTATTTTGGAAGTCTTTTACTGAAAGGGGTCCAAAGTAAGTACCTCACTCTACTGAATGTTTGTATTCTAATACCCATGGGCGTGATGGAGTCTATGGGGAGTTGTCAGGTGAGTTGTGTATGTCGAATGATATCTGTCAGGGATGTTGACTCTCTTCATTCTCATATAATTTTGTCGTAGACATGCTTTTTCAGGTTTCCTTCACCTCGCCTGACTTTATAGGGACTGACCTAATCACAGTTTACTCAGTAGATCTAGAGTACTGATGTGGAATAGTCGTGTTAGGTGAAAATGGTGAGTTGGGTTGCAACATGAGAATGTTTGAAATGCGTTTCTGGCCACCCGAATTCGAATTATTGCTCCAGGGTTGGTGTACACTAGTACCTTGTTTAATGATAAGGAGTGAAATGGTTCAATACCTTTACCACTTCACTTACCTGAAAAGTTGGATCAGCCCTAGTGGGTCAGTGACCGTTTAAATAGCTTCATGAGAAAAAGACTCGATTGGCTTTCGCCAAATTACGCCATTTATGGTACCGTCGTTACATCCAATTGCCTACTCAGGGACGAGTATACTGTGCTGTAGTTCGCTTGGTTCTATCATATAGCTGTGAAACATGACCATTAAAGGTACAGGATGTGCGAAGGCTTCAGGTGTTCGACTGCTGTTGTCTCTATAGCACACCCCTAACTGTTGATCTGAGCGTGGTAGGGAGGTGAAGATCACCTGGCTGGGGTCACCGAAAAGTTAGGAATCAGTCCTTCGGACTCTTGATGAAATGGCTGAAAATCGATCACAATGGCGCAAATATATTCACTCTTTGATATCTTCTGAAGCTTGAGTGTTTTGACCGGCCTTAATTTTTGGATTCCCTCTCATCCCATTCATCTTTGTCTACTTTGATATCACTTTTTTTCTGCACACGTTTTCGTTTTATACTGCTGTGAAGGGTGGCAACTTGAACCTATGCACTCGTGTGCGAGTTTCTACGTTGATTGTGTCTGTCTGTCTTGCAGCATAGTTCGTGTGTCGTAGTGTCACCACGCGAGTAACATAGAAGTCATGTATAGAATTTTCAGAAAAAGAGGAAAGTTAGTTGATGTGAACCTTCATCGGTTCAGTTTGCTAGGACATGTGTTACGCATCCTTAATCACCGTCTGCCTCATCGCACAATAGTAGCTGAAGCAGTTTGTTTTTGGGCAGTCATACTAAAACATGGCATCGGTTTGTGAGGTTTTTGAATACTGATCCGAGCCCTTTAGGAGAGAGGAGTGTAGATTTGCCAGCTGAGACCCTGGTGACAAAGAAACCAGTGGTTAGAGACCGTAAGTGATATGGCTTAGAGTCTATCTTAGTGGCGCAAATGCGCTGACACATTGTTTTCATCCTAATCGCTGTGCTAAATGTGAGTATTCTCTGACTTTCACCCGCTGTATTTTAATGACTTTTCACCACTTTTGACTACTTTCTTTATTGCTCAGTCTTTCATCTTAGTGGATTCTCGCTTAATTTACTGATATTAGATATATTGACTTGGACTACTATGCAGTAATGGCAGCTTCTATGTTGACATTGCCTGTCTGTCTTTGTAAGCACAATGACTTGATGGAACTTCTTCTCTACGCCCTTGAAACCTCGTTTATCCGAGCTGATGTTCGACAACTCTGCGTTTTCGATCATCGATCATCAGGATTGGTCTCATCCAGTGTAAACACCTTGTAATTAAATCTGAGGTAATATGACGTGCGTTTTGGCGTGATGGTTGCCATCATTCCTTAAGTATCTTCATTTTGAAACTTTGGCCTGGGTCACTTGAATGTGTGTTGCGCATATCGTTTCAGCAGATTTCCCATCACTCGCAATACTGATGCCATGGAACTGGCTGGAAGAAACAGAGAGATTGTCAGTGTATGACGTGGCTCTGTGAAATCAAGGATATATGCGTTAGATTAGCATATTCAAGTGCTTGACGACTCTCTGTATGGGGTCCGAAAGTTCATGCAACTCCGTGACTTTGGACCATAGCAGACGCGGCTCAAAATCGAAACCAGTGGCTACCATGCTTTTTTTACGATTATTCTATTACTGAGAAGTAAACAAAAGCAGTGAATGCTTGTCTGTATCTTCGAGACTGCTTCTTTAATCAACCTCTTCCATTCTTTTTCTGTTCCGTCTTCTGCTTTCATGATGTTGCTTTATCCCGACCGATAGCTGCTACCTTGACGTGGTGGTCGGGCTTGCATATCACAATGACCCAACGAGCTATGCTGGTGGAACGCTTGTTCCCTCGAGGTCCTACCATACCAGAAAGGTCTGTTGGGTAGTGGTTAGACGAAAAGCAGTTACCGTTATAGTGTAAATTGCTACACTATGATGGGGGTCTGAGGGCGAAGTCGTACTGCTGCTAGCTGGATGGGGTGTGACAGCAGTAAGGTGTTTCCCTTGGATGACCAGCAGTGCCATGCTGATGCTGCCTTCTCAGTGGAAGGGGGGGTTAGAAAAGGTCGGCCCCAAAAATAACACACTCCACCACGCCCCACGGTCTGCCGGGCCGGCGGTGTTGGTTCACTTGTCGTTTCCTTTCGACCATCCGGCCCCAAAAATACAAAAATTCAAAATAATCATACTCAAAAGGCTGGGTGTGACAGGCCTCAAGCAGATGTCCGATGGGCTCTGCGGTCACACAAATCTCTTTCAGGTACCTTAAGAAGAAATAGCCTTCCACGGTGTGGGCAGCCGGGAAGTGTCAACCGCCCTCACAACTCTGTCAGCACCCAAGTTTCTTCTGACTGCTATCCTCCTCCTCCATCATTACCTTCTAATCTTCCTTCACGTCTCTTAATTAATGATGCTGCATCATCTTCAATTTCTCCTACCTCTGCAGCCTTCGACAACGATCTGAGTCCACAGAACAGCATCCCTGGTCTCCTTAAACCACGCTCCAAATTACATATTGGAGCCTTCAATGTCCGCACCCTCCGTCAAATTGGCCAACAGGCTTCGTTGGCAAAGACTCTAGCAACTCGGGCATGGATGTGTGCTGTGTTTGTGAGACACGCATACAGGACCCAAGTGTGGTTATTCACCTGACCTCTCCTGACCAATCTGGTGAATCTGC